CACCAGCAGCTATCAGCAGTATAGCTGCTGGTGAGTGTGAGCCCTTTATCTATGTGTTCATGTGTCTGTTGCCGTTGATGAAATATATGCACAGAAATGCATGATTTAGTGTTTTAAGCTAAGTGTCTAGAGTTAATTTTGGGACAATGGTGCTGCAAGTGAATTGTTTTAAAAAAAAAAAACTGTGAATATATGATTGAAGTGCAGGCGTTGCACTGCATTAAGCACTTAATGCCTAGAGTATTATATATGATGCATGAGTTTTTGAGACTTCTACGTCATCAGCATATTAAATGTGATACAAATTCAAGCTCATATATTCAAATTACTAATTTATTTATTTATTACAAAATTGTCCGAAGGTCAAATAAATACTTGTTTCTGGGAATTATTTCATAGTTCAGGCTTTACTGGGTCAACTGTTTCAGTCCATTTTTTTTTTCTACATAGTTCCCTATTTTCAGATTAATTGGGCAACTGACTTAAGCAGTTTCATGGACAGGTGAAACCTGTTTCCTCATTATTATGTGACACATTAAACAGATAAAAGATCAGGAGTTGACTCAAAATAATGAATTTAAATTTGATAGCTGTTCACTGGTGTTCTCAATATGAGTTTCAAAGACATGTTAATGAAAGTGAAGGATGCCATTATTAGACTGAAAATAAAATTATTTTATCAGAGCGAGAGAGAGAGAAACAGTTCGCTCTCTGCAAATCAAGTTAAAGGGAACCTGTTGTAGTCATTTTCAAGACCATATTTTTATTCTTTTATTTTTCCATCAAAGCTATAAGGACATCCTCGCATTGGCATTAAATAGATTCAAGAGTAGAGAGAAATTGTTGGAAACCAAATGTTTAAAGTGTCAGTTTTTAGGTTTTGCTTACACTGGCCTCATTATTTAAAACTTGAGACCATGTTTAATAGTGTAACACCAGCAGTATATCCATGTGCTTATTCTTAGTCTCACCAGGATCCTTGGGAAGATAAAGACAGTATGTTAGGCTGAACAGCTGTTTTTATGTCACTGTCCTAATGGCACAGCATGGTGACCTCCTTTTAGAGGCACTCAAAAAGCCAATGACATCATTGTTCCAACTGTGCTGCACTTGTCCCCTCATCCACCATTCACCCGCAAAATTGTCCATTTGGCTTCCCAGTGAGCCTTTCTGGGTAGTAATTTTTATCATCAATCATAATTATCTAAAGATAATAATATTCCTCTAGAGATGGCATTCGATTATAAAACAGGCAGCCAAGGAAACTGATACTGAGTCTCACCATTGTGGTACTTCTCTAACTTACCACATTTTCTCTTAATTGAATGGTTTTGCAGAATTGTGGCAAGACCCAATGCTTGACATCGCTTTGTTTAGCACTGCTGTTGTGCTTTCATTGTATTTTAAAAAACAAGCAAAAAATTGATTATGACTCTACAAGAAAGAAATAGAGTTGTAAATGAATGAATTACAGAGGTAATGTCATGGCGGGGTGCGCCGGTGTGAAGAATGAGGTAGACCCAAGAGCAGACACGGTGGAGACAGAACTAGGTTTCCAAAATAAGGCAAGCCTTTATTGTGGCTGAAGGCATGACAAAAACACTAGGGAACACTGAAACTGGAAAAACTAAGAAGACAGAGAACACTGTGTAAACTAAAAAGGCTAACACACTCTGTGAAGGAACTATGGAAAAAACTATAAACACAGAGTAACTAAGCAGGCTATGAAACACAGTGTCACAATAAGGGAAACTACGAAAATACGAGGTGAGGATAACAGACGATCTGACACTGACACAAAGACACACTGGGCTTAAAAACACTGAGGAAGTCATCAAGGAATTAGAGACAGAAGGGGAACACAGCTGGGAGGAATAAGACCTAATGAGACAGGGGGAACAAAGCTAGAAACACTGACATAAGACGGGAACATGAACCTTCAGAGTAAAACAGGAAACAAGACACCACTAAACAAACACGCAGACACGACACAGAGAGACAGACTAGACACTGAACTAAACCTGCAATAAACATGAGAACACAAAAACCTACGAACTAATCCCTAAACAAGAATAACCGAAACATAGAGTCATAATCATCATTATCATCATAATAAGAAAAAAATCCAAAATGCAAAAACGCACCAAAAACATAACAACTCAAAATACTGGGTCAAACTGACCCAGAACCGTGACAGGTAATACGAAAATATTGTTTACCTTGTGATTTCTTGGACTAATGTTTATAATGGTGTGCAAATTTCCTATGCTGCCTCAGCAGTTTCTGACATATAGTTCATAGCATGAATGTGTGATAGATTTGCAGCATGTTGAGGGTGTTGCCTGTCCCTCGCCCTGACAGCTGCAATGTGCTCCAGCCCCACCAGAACTCTGAACTGGATAAACAGAAGGTAATGAATGGATGGATGGATCCAAAAAATAAAATAAAATGTAAAAAAGCAGAAGCTGTTCCTTTTTCCTTGCAACCTAACAAGTAACAAAGTAACATAGCGATGAAACATGGACAGCGGGGTCCTTGCTTTGCACTAAAAATCTCCCTTCCCAGAGGTTAGCATGCACTATATACCTTCATATATGCACCACTGGCCTGCTGCATCGCTGGCTGTTGTCTTACTCTGACAGAGCCTGCAAGGGGTCTTGTCTGAAACAGCTATGGTCAAGGACAATGTGTCTGGCGCTAGCTTTGTTATGGGAGTTGTGGCGACTCTGTTATCATTCTGGGTCCATTAATTCCAATTCATTTTAGCAGCGTGATAACTAGCAGCGTCTGCTTGTCTGTGCTCTCACAAGTCAATGTACTGTGTTTCCAGATAAACATGAAGTCTGTTGTTGCCGGTTCTTCTTTTCCTGTGTGTTCTCATGAGAGCGTGCGAGTACAGTAACTTTAGCCAAACCGCCATGTTTCATGCTATGAGGGTAAATGTGATGAAATATAGCGATGAGAAGAGATACAAGAAATTTATTGTAGATGCAGAAAATTAAATTCTTTTTCAAGGATTTAAGAAGTCACAGCTTTATCTCAGTGTAGGAGAAGCTCCCATGTGTCACGCAGAAAACTATACCTAAAACTACCATTTTAAAAAAGTATTTTATCAGTTTTACCCCTTAGCTGTAAAAGGCTGATGGCATAATGTCATCGCCCCTCCAGGTAGGCAGGCAGGGTCTCAAGGTCAGAGGGTTTTTTTTAATGAAACATAAACTGTATTTAATCATGAATCCACACATTACCTTGAAGTTGACCAGATATCCAACAATAACACATCAGTATGTGTGTGACTTTTATCAGATAATGAATTCCAGCATCCTGGAAGTTTGCAACTGTTTCCTCCTTTCAGATGAATGCACAAATCACAGTGGGTGTAATTTGTGAAATGAAAAGTCTGATAGAGTCTAGTTATGTACTCACTGGCCACTTTTTTTAGGCACACCTTGCTAGTAGTGGGTTGGAGGCTTTGGCCTTCAAAACTGCCTGAATTACTCATGGCACAGATGCCAGAAACATTCCTCAAAATGTAATATTTTGACTTAATAGCATTAGA